TTAACATGGAATCATCTATCACACAAAAAAAAATCATCAATTTTACAACTAACTTGTTTTTTTTTAAATAAAGTCTAAATATTCAATGGTATCTTGTTTAAAGCGGTCATGACCGATGTGATGGAATAAGCAGGGACACCATACTAAGACAACATAGAATTAAAATTATCGTTCAGAGAAGTCAGGCAAACCGCCAAAACGGCGCTGAAGTGGACGGGCGGCCAACCCGCCGCCGTACCACCGACCGGACGTGAACAATAACAACGTCCTGAGCACTTAAAGAAAACCGAAAACGCGTCCAACAATCCGTAACACAGTAAACCAATAAAGCGCGGTTATAAATAAAAATAACTGCCCCAGTTATAAATAAGCGACAGTACAGTCGGTGAGTATATCACGCGGCTCAGGGCTGCTTGTCACGCCCGCTGAGTTATAGCGTCACACAACATAAAATATACAACAAAAACTGTTGTTCTTCCAACAGTTTTGCCCCATATTAAGAATGAGCGTAAACATAACGCGAATTCGTAACAGGGTAGCATCGGTCCGCGGAGATGATGTTGCCACTAAAAATTTATACCTGAAAATCTTATAAAACTTATGTTTATTTTAAAACTCGGAAAAATTTACTCTTATTTCTCAATTAAAGATACGCATATAACCGTGTCCTTGATAAGTGTGTTTCTTAATCACACACATGTGTTTTAAAACGGTTTATGCAAGTAATCCACAATAAGAACTTGTCGATTGCAACAGATCTAAAATATTAAATCCGTAGTGCCCGTAAAGGTATTTATTTGCTAGATTTATATTTTCTGACTTTTACACATAACATTGATACTTTGTAATTAAGTATATCACGGCTAAATTAGTTTCATTATAAGCAATGCGATCTCCATTCATGGCCCCGTTCGATATCCTTCGGCCGATTCGGGGCCCAGTTCGCGTGGTAATTCGTTATTTTTATTGTTTTTTGTTATTATCATTGCGCCCGTGGATTACGGGTTGTGATACACGGCCGGGCGCTGGATGCGTTTAATTGCTGAGGACGGTTTAGAGCGCGCGATAAATAATAAGATTAAGGTGGGAATAGTGGATCTCCGTGTTTATGAAACGACACAACGCTTCGCAGCAATTTCCATAATTTACGGCTCAATATTGCGGGGCGGAAGCTTACGCGAGGCGATGCTACTCAGATAAATGTATAAGTATCTAATTTTTTTGAAAGAACGAAAGTAATGTTAAGTGTAATGTAATCGTGAAATAAAAGCTTGTAAAATACAAAACATTTCGAAGAGTGGTAATTCATTGTAAGGTGTTTCCTTTTAAATTAAATATACACCAAAAATCTGAATTTCGATTGGATACAATTTTTGCAATTTTAAACGTCTAATCCAAATTAGTAATAATTTTTTTTTTCAAAAATATGTCTGCCAAATCGCAATGGGTTATGGCTAACGATACATTAGTATCTCTGTTAACGTGTCCACGGTCTTCGCTCGGCAGTAAGATTTAAGTTATTAAGGGATTTTATTCTAATAATTCATAAGCTAAGTCCATTTACCCAAACTATTCAAATTTCGTAGTTGAATATTTAAGCATACGAACATTTTATAACCTGTAAAAGTAAAAGTAAAGTAACAGCTTATACATGTCCCACTGCTGGGCAAAGGCCTCCTCTATACAAAGGGTATCAGGGCATAGTCCACCACGCGGCCCCACTGCGGATTGGCGGACTTCACATATCTTCGAAACATATATTTTTTTTTGTTATTATTTCGAAAATATGCAGGTGCAGGTTTTTCCTTCTTCACGATGTTTTCCCGTCTGGCTAGCCCCGCGGAGATGAAGTGTCTCGGGATAAGTCAGCACTTAAAGTTAAAAATTTCATTGGTGCCAGCACCGGGGATCGAACTCAGGTTGCTCGAGTATATTGAATTAAAGGCGAGCGCCCGAACACTGAGCTATCACGGCTCCTGTAACTCAGTTTAATTACAACACGTTTTACCGACCTTATTAGTTCCCAAAAGTGACGGAATGAGCTATTACGAATGTAACAAAGCGTAACATGTTCCGCGGTATTCCCTAACTTTTAACGGCGCGCCAACAACGTTTGCATTACGCGGTACTTCGGAATCTAACCCTTTAACAGCAAAAAGTTAATCCGAAACAATGAACGGATGCTGGGGGCGAGTTCAAACGATCTGCTCCCCGTCTGCGATCTAATTAGCAACTTCCGCGAAGCTCGTTTACGTGTACTCTAATTAATATATTTTTGTAATGCATTTCCGCGATACTAAAGGCCGCGATGGCCCACGGCCTGCTCTCCTTCGATTCGTTCTGCTCGGGGAACCGAGTTCGTATTCAGTTATTTGTAAAAAGAAAACTGAATTTCGATTTTCGACTATTGTTTAAGAAATGCAGTATTCTACCGGTACGTGAAAAAACAAAGTATTTATTAGCAATTGAAGGATACAAAAGTAAATTTTTAGTTAGGAAATCACCAGTCAGATAATAGCTACCGATCGAGCCGAGGTCCGGCCCTCTCGGGCACCCTCGAATCGGAATGCTAAACGCGTGTTGAGTGACAGCCCAAGCCAAGGTCCCCTCTCGGGGACCCTTGAGCCTGATCACTCCATGGAGCGCCCGCCAAAGCGCCCTAAGAGCTTGGCGGCCTCCCAAACCGGTAATAATAATAGCGTGACGGCCCGAGCCGAGGCTCCCCCGGGAGCCCTCGAGCTTAGTCACCATAACGCGTAATAATAATACGCCGAGGTTCAGGCTAGGCGCCCCGTGCGCCAGGCCACCTCAAGCCCGTCGGAACTGTAAAGGCCCCTAAGGCCAACAGTGGCTCATCCAGCCCCAAAAAAAAAAAAAAGTTAGGAAATCAATTTATGGTAATTTAAGAAAGAATACTCGTAAATTGTTTGAGGAACCAAGTGCGCAAAATTACTTTGGCGAAAGGACGCGTAGGTATTTAGTGCCAAGAATATTTAATGAAAACGTGCCACAAGAGGCCTGTCGGACAAAACAAATTTTTAAAAACAAATTGAAATATTGGCTACTGAATGCCATCGACGACCTGTATTATTAGTAGTAGTAATATTTAGTTTATTATTAATTATTAATCTTAATTATTTTTTATTATTACTTTATTCATTATTAATTTAATTTAAGATTTTCCTTTTTTCTTTTATAGCTTTGTTATTGATTTAGAGCGATAAGGGCTACTATACCTACTTAGTCTTTAATTTTTAATAACTTTATATGTTTACTAATATGTTTTGTTTTAAAATCTATCTTAGAGAAGTATTACAATGCAATTGTAAACCGTAATGAGTGCTGTTTCGCCAATAAACTGTATTCTCAGTTTGGCGATCTTAATGTTTTTTTGAACCAATTGTATTTACTATGTTAATAAATAAATTTAAAAAAAAAATCTTTGGCAACGACACTTTCGTCGTGGCATAAAGTCCTTCTAGAATGGTGACTGCACTTTTGCAGTTTTATGCAGAACGTCCAGTGTATTGAGATTTCGTAGTGTTAATGTAAGTTCATTTGTTAATATAAATGATACTATCCACTTGTATGAAGCAGCCCTAATTTTCACTACAATTTTATACATACAAAAATATCTATGGATATTGTTCATTTCCTGATCACAGCACCAATTAGAGTGTTAATTTTATTTGATGACGTATCACATGCTCAGCGGTGAAGAAAACTTCGTGAGGAAACTTGCAAATTGTCGAAATAATAACAAAAAAAATAATAATTTTGAAGATACGTGAAGTCCGCCAATCCGCAATGGGGGCGTGGTGCGACTGGAGACTTTGGATTGATTAAGAAGTTCTCAATAAAATGAAGTATACGTAAATTTATCAAGAGGAATTGAACTTTGACTGACACCGCCCGAGTCGGCATCACTGCAGAAGTTGAACATAAACGCACGCGTGTACGTTTACACCAACGCGACGTTCGCGAGCGCGTTTACTAACGGCGACGCGTGCGTTTTAGTTCTTCGGGTATTTATTAACGGGCCGTCTCAATGAAATACTGATTTAATTAACAGGCTAATCATACGCTCCGGAGTGTGGGGTTTCGATTATGAAACGATATTTACCTAAAACGATATTGTTTGCGTCGTTCTCTTGAGGGAATGCAGTGTTGTGTATATGTAAGGGACGCGTTAAAGCGATTCCCACCGCCGGACCCTTCGAAGATTTAGATTCAATTCCGGCGCTGAAGTAAAGAAGGATTACAGAAGGGTTTTTTTTTTCTTTCAACTTTATACATAATATCGGTATTAAAAGGTTTTAATATTTCGAGTAATGCAGATTGTCGCGTATGTTCGAGTAATGTAGTAATATTGAAAAAGAACATTAGATATATTTTTTGAAATTAATAAACCAAGCCCTAATTTCGCCAATTCTTTTTTTCCTTTATCAACTATTGGCTAAAGACTCTTTATAACTAACAAACATCCTAATATTATAAATTCTTTGGCAAAAATATTACAACAATGTATCAAAGGTACATCAGCTCAAATAAACTTCATTGTTTTTAATGTAAACGTTAATCGAAATCATAGTTCCTAGGTTTCTATTATTAGGGTATTTATAGAATAACAACTAAAAATTCTAATTTGCAATTCCCACGTCTTACCCTTTCTAATATTAATTTGTAATATTAATTTGTTTACGAAATAATATAGATCGATAACATTCATTTGCAATCGTTAGAATCTCCATGTGATTGCCGTACAATTTTCTTCACACGCCAAGTCATTAGTAAATTGCTTTCAAATTGCCACAAACACTTTGTTCCCCGAAATCTATTACGTTTGGTAGCAAACAAAAGACAGAGACGGCTGCGCTCATTGAATGTCTCACATAAAACATAAGCAAAACACACAAGTATGTCAGTCAGTCGCAAGCCGTTACGGTGCAGACAGTGTTATCGAGGTAACAGCGAAATAATTACGTGTAACTAAAATCACAATGAGTGCGTTACTCGACGCGGACGCAATACTCTCCGATCGCGAGGAGTGGACGAAGCTGGGCGAGGAATGGGGCATGCCGATAGACCTCGACACCGAGGAAGACCAATCGCCGCATCTCAAGCACGTGTTCAGCACTCTGGACTTGAAGAAAACGACCTTCGACTCTTCGTTCCTGTTCAAAAAGGTCAGGAGGAAAGTCGGCAGGCGGCTGTCGAAGCGCTCCGTCCTGGATTACGGCGAGTTCTTGAACGACCTGCGCAAAGACTCCTCGCGGGAGTCCTCCAAGCAGTTCTACTTCGTCAACGGCCAGCTGATATCGGCGCTCTCCGTCGAGGAGATATGCGGGAAGATAGACGACTATTTCAAGTCGATAGAGAAACTCGCGCCCAGCAGCACGATGCGCAAGAAGAAGGTGGATCTGCCAGCAGTGGTGCGCTGCAGCATTGACAGCGAGGATTATTCCTTTGACGACACTGTGATTGGGGTGTTGAGTACGGAGAAAGGTGATAGCAGCGACACGAACCGTGTCATCGACCAGGCGTTCAACGATTTCAATTCTTCGATAGCTTCGATGGACGTGGACCAGTCGACCAGGGAGTCGGTCACGACCCTCGTGAGGAAGTTCAGCAGCATCCTCAAGAGTCCAACGGTAAACTGCAGCCCGAGGAGGCAGAGACAGTGCTGTGAAAAGTTCCGTGACCTGGCCGAGTTCTGGAGGAGACGCGCTTTGGACTACGAATGATTTCATTCTGCTAATCATGTTTGTGTTCATAATAACTACAATCTTTTTTTCATCGTGATTATTTATTTTTAATTGACTGATTGTTAAATATGGAGGTAGTGGTAAATTTGTTTATAGTAATTTCAATATGGTGTCACTGTACAGCTTGTACATTTCGTAATAGTTTCTTTTTTTGTAAGATATTCAGTATAACGATATTAGTTTTAGAAGACTTAAACAAAAAAAATATAGCTAGGAGTTAATTAAATGTTATTAAGAATTTTTATATTTTATTGTTCACAAACCCTCAGTTCAGACGCTCAATAAATTACGTCGACATTAATAAGAAATCTTTATTAAAATATTTTGTTTTAATCCATTACATTATAGGATTTATACATTAAACAATCTTTTAATTAAAGCTGTCACCGTAACGCAATAACTAATTTTGTGACACAATGATGAGTTATTACGAAATATTTAACGGCTTTCTATAAATATTTCAAGTTATTTTTAAAAAACAATAACGAATACAAACAATAACATATAGTTCCTTTGAATGGTTCGACGACACGTTGATTCCATTACCGCACCTCATAACATTCATTCTGAGAGTTTTGCTCCCAATTTTATAATTTGCAACCATTCAGTTATACTTCATCCCATCCATTACCTTTGAAATCATTCAAATATACTCACAGCCTTCATTTTTGCTGGCCAAAGTCCTAAAGCGAAGCATGGGCGGGGCACACCTATTAGTTAATTACCTGAAAAGCGCACAACAAATAGAAATTCATGGTTCATTAGGCAAACAAGCGTGGAGTGGTTCCGTAGGACCTCGCAGGCCACGGTCCAAGTTGGACGCTAAATCACAGACCATCGCCTGCGGACCCCTGTGTTGGAACATACGGCCGGATACAACGAAGGGAAACGCGGCGTTCAACTATTTATTATACGTGAAATCTATTTTAAATTCTCTATTTTTAATGATGAAAACTTTAGAAAATAAACATGCAAAACAAAGTTGGTAAAAGATAGACTTCGCATGACGCGTAGGTTCGAAGGACGCGTACGCCCATACGTTTTGAATAATAAAAAAGTATGTATGTAAATATGATCTACATATTATTGTTTCACATATAAATAATCATGTTGTACTATTTGTATTATTAATACGTTTCTATCATGCACAGTAATCATATTCTACGTATACGTAAATGCAGAGATAAAATCTGGTGTATAAAAAAAACAAATTGTCGAATGAGTTTCCATCAAACCTTCGCTTTTCAGATCCTGGCACCGCGAAAAAATATCTTAACGTTTTAAATTTCGTTTTATGGACAGAAATTAGAACTAAAAATAAAATTGAAACTGTACTTTATTTCACTACAGAATTGTTTAACTTTTCATGTGTTATTTTTTTTACCATTATAAACGACTCAGTACACGTTAGTATTTCGTTTCTTTGACTAATAATTAATTGAGAACTAGTATATAATTCTGTTTTAAATCACGCTGTCCCAACATGCAATGAAATAAGAAAAATATTTTACATTATGGAAACGTTGCCGGGCGGGCAAGCGCCGAAAGTTGTGCCGTATGTTATCAATATTTCGTGCACTGACCGTAAGCAGAAACTTATTCCGGTTGCTCATGAGAGTTGGACACTTTGTCAATTTATGAGGCGGGCACAATGGAGCTTGCGCGATCCGAGTGAAGGCAGATTTCGTTAATTGAGTTACTCAGATTATAGGGAAAGCGTGATCCCTTGATAGGCGACCGAAGAACCGTTACGTCGGTCTTGAGTTTCTTCGCTGTCGATTTTATATTTATTTAACACATATAGCCTAGATTTATTTATTTTTTTTTGAATATACAATCTTTATTGATCTAATATTTACAAGATTAAATCTATCTAAAATTACATATTATCTAATAAACCTAATCCACGCGGCATGGTGCCAAGAATGCTAGCTGCATTTCCTCGCCAGATTTAATTGTATAGCCATAATAAGAAAATAATGTAATTACAAAATTACCTATACTGATAATGTATGGTACAATCAACCTTTTCAACAAACAGCAGACTGCATTTTTTTATGTCTGACAATATGGCAAGCGAGCTCGTGATTCACCTGATGTTAAGCGATAACCTTCGTTAACATTTGCAACACACGTAGCTGATGCGTTATAATGTGGGCCCCGGTTGCCTCACTCACCATATGAAACGCAGAATTATAAAATTTTCACTACACGCCGGACTTATGTGTATCATGACATTTTCCCTACCTACCTAAAAAAAAACTACAAAAACTGTTGCGTAATCTTACCACAGTAGCATACTTAGAGAACGCTCGATCTTTACATTTAATTAGTTTATTTTTAAACCATTAATTGCTAGGTGCAAGAAGCTAGCTATCATTTGTGCATATTTCACTCCTATACGTACTTGCGTCCAAACAATATTTTCATTCTGCAGGAAAGATTTTAAAAGAAAAACCACTAAGCACGTAAGTATATATTCATAAAGATTAGGGTCAGTAACAGTATGTCGATATAATATAACCAATGACATCTTTCATTTATTATGTTTGTTAAAAGTTTATAAAAACATCAAATGACCTTCCCCTTCGGTGATTATCACAATTATGTAATTAATTTCTTAAGAATGATAATTTTCATAAACGACGAGAAATGACCAGAAGGCTCCTCAAGTCCATCTTCATTGTTGAGTCTGTATAAAAATAGTAGTAGGGTACTTTTTGCACATACTTTCTTGTAGATCGTCTACAATCATACAATTTTGCATTGTATTTATTTTAACATCTATTTTAAAATCTTGTTCTTGTCCTCTTAACATAATATCCATATAGGGGTCAGAAAACACTCCATGAAATCTCAGACAGACAATCATGTAAAAAAATCGCATGTAAAGGTATAACCCTTTATTGCATACAAATTATATACATCTAAAACCGCACACAGACAAGCTCTAGTCTACCAATGAAACAACAATGTAGCATCAAGCATAGGAGCACAAAGTAATTTTTGGGCAAGTAACACGGGATTAAACTTTACGTAGGCATTACACGGGTCCAATCCCGCCAACCTAACGGCGAGGAGAGGTTCGGCAGGAGATCGGGCCGTCAAAGCGCGTAATCAGGGGCAAAGGCATACGTTGCGGTCGGGAACCGGACGGCTGTAAACCCGCCACTTTAGCTGGCGCCGAGTTCGCTCGATAGCCGAATCGTCGGAACAAGTCCGATACACAAAAGCCGGTACCTGCTGTCCATTACGCCTGTAACGCGCAATATGCGCATTTAATATTGTTTTCGCTTTGTCATTTTTAATTATTAGCACTGTAATAAAGTCTGTTATTGTAACTGTTTAAGTGATCTGAGCTATTTATTAACTATTAAAAGGCTTTTTTATACTATAAAACAACAAGTATCCGTGGTGAAGAAGCGTCTTTAATATTATTCCTGATTATTAGCTAATTTATTAATTTGCCACGATGCGATAACACTGAAACTACCAAGTTTAATAATCGAACGCGGCTAAACAAGGCATAAATCTGAGGTGATATTATTTTTCAGGTTCCGTCATCAATGACTCAACGGGTTCCCGGCTCAGATTCGAAGGTGTGAACTCACGAAGTCATGAAACGATTTTGATGTTTTTTTTTTTATTTGAAAGCTGGTGCTTCCCATGTGGTCTCATATTAATTCCATTGGTATTGGATTTTGGGCCACGGAGATACTGAGAATCAACTATAAAATGAATACAGAGCGAGATATCTGAACTCGTTAAAAAAATGGACTTGTTATTTGGCGTGTTTGCTAAACGATGTTTATCGATTAATGCAATTTGTGTCCGACGCGGTGGAGGAACTTGTTTCCCGTGACGTCACGCTAAAAAGTGCGTTCCCATTAGCGGGGCCGCGTCGCTGGGCCCGCACCGCTCTCAATCAATTTGGACAAAATCGCCGGAGTGAAGTGTTTTTTAATTAATTTTATGAGTGAGCATCGCAACAGAACAATGATTTCCAGGAGCCGGTCGCTACTAAAAGAAAACTGAACTTTCTACTATGCAAGGATACAAAAATGTAAGAAATTAAAAGTTATAAATATTTATTTCTTAATTACGATTAGTTCCACGTTACTCAATATTCGATATAAAGTTCAAAACAGACTGTTTAAGATAGAACATAAAGTTTGAAAATTAATTGCATGCCACGATAGATTATAATGTATAGGAATGTTGGAGAACTTTTTTCTCAAAGTAATCGTGTGTCCGGTATGAACTCAGATTGGAGCAAACCACGTAGCTAAGGTTGGCACTAAATCCTAGCAGATGCACAACCATCATCAATAAATATGAATTATGACCACAATAGTTCTCCAATTACTTTTCATAAATTAAAAAAAGCATACTGGTCGTAATTCAAAAGTTACATAATCACGTTTCATAACGTCACATAACGCCGTTTCTTACGTTGTAATAAAACTATTTTTACTAACGCAAAACTAAAACGACTTCAAATGTCTCGCTCCGTATTCATTTTATAATTGAATTTTAGAATTTCCCTAAGTCAGTTACCCTTATCTCCGTAGCCCAAGATCCAATAACAATGAAAATGATATGGGACCACATCGGAAGCACCAGCTTTCAAATAAAAAAAAGAATCATGAAAATCTGTTCACTCAGTCGAAAGTTCTGAGGCAACAAACAAAAAACAAAATACATTCGAATTTAGAACCTCCTCCCTTTGAAGTTGGTTAAAAATAGACTTGTTCTTTATTTACTTGAAGCTTTAAAGAAAGGCCAAAAATAATTCCGATTTTGTTCTATTTTATCTCCACGGCACCGCTGGCCGCGCGACACCGCGTCCACGCACTAATTCAATATGGCCGACGTAGGCCATTTACGTTCGCGCTTGACATATCGCCCGTGAAAAAAATCAATTATGATTTTTTGATGGCGCCGCGGTGGCCGACTGATTGATGTGGAATAACACT